GGGGGCTAGTGCCCATGGCCTCGCCTGTGGGGAGCCACTCTTGGCCCAGCAGCTGGCCACACGGTGATGCTGGCCAAGGTGAGGAGAGGTGAGGACAGGTCCCCTGGCTTCCACGGTATAGGGCATGGCGCCATGGCTCCATGTTTGCTGCGAACCAAAAGGTCGGCAGTTCAAACTCACCCGTAGGCTCAGAGTCTGAAAGACCGGAGACCTGCTTTCACAAAGATGATGGCCGGCGGGAGAAGCCTGTGGGGCCCTGTTCCTCTAGGGTGGCTACAGCACCTCACAACCAGCACCCTGTCTGCCCCCTCCCTCCACCCATCCCAACCTACTCTTGGCATGTGCCTTGGTCCGCCTCTGTCCTGAGTGGGCAGTAACTAAGCACTCGAGGATGGGACTAGCCGGGACGGCTGGAGGGAGGGGGTGCTGGAGGCCAGTGGACCAGGTGCCACAGACAGACCGAGGTTAGTGGACACGGTGACAGCCCAGGTATCCCCCAGCCGGGGCCCAGCAGCAGCCTGCCTACCTAACGAGGCTGGGGTCAGCGTGGTAGGGGGGTGGTGGGGTGCAGTGGGACCCCGAGACCATGGGCTGCGAGCTGTGGGCGCCATTCATCTCGCTGTTGGACGTCATTGGGTGACCGTGGCTGTTGAGTATCCCGGGGCCTGGCGAGAAGCGGATGGTCAGAGCGAGCTGGCAGTGTCCGCCTGCGCCCTTTGCAGACTCCATCCACCCTTCTCATCTCACCCCCACCGGAGGACTTCACTGCCATTTGACCAGTGGGGACACGGAGCCTCTGGGAGGTTCAGAGGTCATCCCAGGGGCCCTCGCTCTCCAAGAGGTAGAGCCAGGGGGGGTGTTCTGCATGTCCCCACAGCACCCTCTGCTCCCACAGACATGGGCACCCCTGGTGGGCAGTGGGCAGGGCCAGAGCAAATGCAGGCGGATGAGGTCTGATCGTGACCCAGCCAGCCTTCCCTACCAACCCAGGCCCTAGGGAGACTCACCCACAGGCCCTAGGCTGGGCCCGGCTGCAGAGCCATGCGGGGAAGGCTGGCCCACCAGCTGGTTGACGGAAGGCAGCTTGCTGGCACCACCGTGGCCTTTGCCCATGGGCGATAGGATGGGCCCGTAGGCGGGGGGCTGCAGGTGGGTTCTGCTGGGAGAGTAACAGCTTGTGGGTCAGACGTCAGAGCCTCCTCCTCCTCCTTGTGTTCCCCCCCGACACTGCCCACCATGCCCGGTGGCTGGAGATGGAGAAGCCCTGGCTTGTAACTGGACACCAGGGGCAGGGGGCCCCTCCTCACCTCGCCCACCCCTGTAAGCCTGTGCCTTCCCTCCCTGCTGCTCTCAAGGGGTGCAGGCTGGGAGGGGCTTCCTCCTCCTCAGAGTCAGCTCAGGGGCACCCCTGCCTTGAGCTACTCCTGGGGCTTTGGGACCCCCAGAAAGAGGTGAGCGGATGGTTGTGCCGCAGGGTCCAGGGCAGGCAGTGCAGGTCCTGGAAGGCTTCCTAGGGGCAGTGGTCCTGTGAACCCAGCCCTGTTCTCACTGCTGTCCCAGGGGTGGCTGGCACTCCCTGGCCCCTGCCGGCCACAGCACTGGCCGTGGCCAGGCCAGGCTGTACTCACGGCCTCTGCAGGAGCTGCTGCTGCTGCTGCCGGTAGGAGTCCACCAGCTGCTGGGGCACCAGCTCCGTCAGCTCCAGGCCCTCTTTGATCTTCATCAGGATCTCAAAGTTCTCCCGGCCCCGCACCTGAGGGAGAGCCAGACCTCTGCAGGTGCACACGGACGCCGGCCCCCGCGCCTCTCTGTGGGCGCAGGCAGCACCAGGCAGCTCCCTCCATGGGCTCCCGCAGCACCAGCCTGGCCAGAGTCCCTGCCCTGAAGGTGACCCCATCCACCCGGTCCTGCTTTTGTCCACTGCGTGCTTCCCCTGCTCCCCAGCACTGAGGGTGACCGGCAACGCCTGGGTCACGCCACCCACACAGAGCACTCACTCTGGTAGGCTTCGAGCCCTGAGCAGTTCCTGACTTCTGGAGCAGCCATGGTGGCGTAGTGGGTTGTGGGGGCTGTGGCGACCTGCCACAAGGTCGGCAGTTTGAAACCACCAGTGTCTCCGAGGGAGACAGACAGGGCTTTCTACTCCTGGCAAAAGTCGGTCTTGGAAACCCACTGTTCTACTTCTAACCTGAGTCGCCATCGACCAGGTGGGAGTGAGTTTGGTTTGCTTCTGAGATTTACGGAGGACGGAGCCTGTGGGATCGGCAGGAGAGGGTGGCACACAGGGGTAGTGGGTGGGCCGAGGGACATAAAAAGGATATGATCCCTGATGGGCCACTGGGGGAACCGGCACGCTCCCAGTGTCCCTGCAGCCAGTCTTGGGATCGTGGGCTCAAAGCTGCTGGTCCCTGGGACCCCATGCCCCTGACATCTGTTTTCCCCACTCTGAGCAGGCCCTTCCTGCCTGGTGCCCTGCGGAGCTCCTGGTGGACCCTGGGACCTGGCCCCCAGCCCCGTGCTGAGCACACTCACGGGCATGTAGTACATGTCCTCGTCCCCATGCCGCCTCTTCTTCACACTGGCCCCCAGGGAGGGGATGGCCGGGGGGCTCTGCTTGAATGCTGCACGGGGAGAGGGGCTGCATAAGTAGTCAGAGGAGGCGGGAGGGGCCCTGTGCATCAGGGGGTTGGCGGAGCTTCCAGACCACCACCCACCGTGGTGGCCACCCAGCCCACTGAGCCTGAACTGGGGTAGGCCTGTCATTCTATCAGTGTGGCTTGGGACAGTGCCCCCTCAGCTGAGTCGGGCTCAGCTGCTCCTGGACGAAGGCATGCGGAGACCACCGGCCGCGCTCCCCCACCCCCAGCCCCCGGGCCGCTCACTGCGTTTGCTGGCTGCCCCACTCTTGGCTGCGCTCTCGTTCAGGGCCTGCTGCTCCCGGAAGTGATCCTCATCCGCTTTGCGGTCCCGGCCCGGGCAGGCACAGATCCGGCCCTCAAAGGACCGGCGGCCCAGCACCTGTCCACTGTGAGGCAGACCCCATTGGAACCTTGAACCTCTGGATGCTCCATCCTCAACCTGGCAACCCTGCTCATTCCCTCCCCCGCCCCCCACCCCCGCCCCCAACACTGCCCCTGAGAGTCAGGGGCTCCAGGGCCAAGCGCCCAGTGGGGGGAGCAGGCCCTCTGGGGCTAGAGGGAACCAACTGGGAATGTGGTAGCCTGCTTAGAGATATCAGTCCTGGCAGGCGGCCGGGGGTGGGGGGGAGGCAGCAGCCATTGGCCTTGGCCTCCATGTACCCATGTCAAGACCCTCCAGTAGCACTGGCCCAGCCCCACTTCACCCCTTCACCCCCTGCCCCCCTTCTATGTGCACTCAGACTCACTCCCGGGTTTCCAAGGTGATGATGATGAGGATGGGCCGCCGGTTCATGCCCCCCACGCAGCTGCTGTTGCACATGAAGTTGTACAGGATGGTAGTGAACTCCGTCCCCACCTGTACATGGGGAGGCAAGAGTGTCAGTACACAGGCCCCATTATATGGAGGTGGGCGCTTCGAGGCTGGGAAGCCCCCAGATTTAGTTGTGGTTGTGAGTGGACACAGGGAAGGGGGGAATCAAGGCCTTTTTTGTCACCCATCCTTCCAACCAATCATCCCAACTATCCATTTAATCAATCCATGGATCCTTTCAGATCCATCCATTCAATGAACCCACCCACCCACTGTCTGTCCGTCCATCTGCCCATCCATCCATCCATCCATCTCACTTATCCATCCAACCAACCCACCATATATCCATTCCAACTATCCATTCATTCCAACCACCCATCCATTTGAACTATCCATCTGACCAATCCACTAATTATTTCATTCCCATCCATTCATCCATCCATCCATCCATCCATCCGACTATCCATCTAATCCAGAGGTCCTCAAACTTTTTAAGCAGGGGGCCAGTTCACTGTCCCTCAGACCGGTTGGAGGGACGGACTATAGTTTAAAAAAAACTATGAACAAATTCCTATGCACACTGCACATATCTTATTTTGAAGTTAAAAAACAAATGGGGCACAAACACTCGGCGGGCCAGATAAATGTCCTTGGTGGGCCGCACATGGGCCGTGGACCGTAGTTTGAGGATGCCTGATCTAATCAGTCCATTGGTCCTTTCATATCCATCCATCCATCCATCCATCCATCCATCTATCCATCCATCCATCTCACTCATCCATGCAACGAACCCACCATCCAGCCATTGTAGCAACCCATACATCCTAACCATCCATCCATTGACCAACCCACAAATCCTTTCATCCCCAGCCAGCCAGCCATCAAACCAATCAACCATCCATCCATCCATCTAACTCATCCATCCAACCAAGCCACTATCCATCCATTCCAATCATCCTACCTGTCTCACCCAGTGTCCATCCATACTTCCAACCACTCAAGCTCCCATCCATCCATCTAACCAATCCACAGATATGCCCACCACGCAGTGCACTGGCTGCGGGCACTATGCTGGTTCTGGGTGCTGCCAGGGAGGGGTCAGGCCTAGTCTTTGCTCCGCCCTTTGCTCTGGACACCTTTGCCATCTACCCTGACCAAGGCCAGAAGACAAGGCCCCGAGGCCATGTGTGGTGGGTACGTGCACCAGCCTCTGTGGACGTCTGTGTGTTACACATGCACTTTCCCACGGTGGGAACGTGGCTCTGATGGAGGGTGGGACCAAGAGTGTGGTGTAAGGGGCAGCATCCACCTCCCAGTCCCAGCATCCACCTCCATTTCCTAGGAGAACGTGGAGCATAGTGCACACCATAGATGAGGTTGGGGCAGGTTTGGCTCCCTGGGTCAGTCAGCTTGTGGAAGCCAGTCCCTAGTTTGGGAATGTCATGGCCTTTCATAGAACTGCCACTAGGGGGTGAGAGAGCGCTGAGGCTGACCACACAGCTGCAGGCCAGGGCTGGGTCTGGGTGCAGGTGGGGTTAGAGTTGGGGCATTCTGGGGAGGGAGGATGTTGTGGGGTCCCACAGACAAAGCCCGTGAGAAGGGAGCCTAGGGGCCTGGGGATGGGGTACAGGGATGCGTACACAATAGTTAGGGGGTTATTGCCTTCATCCTCCCTGGGAAGCCTAGCCTGTCCCAGCATGGCTGATCCACCTTGATCATGGGCCCTGTCTTACCTCTCCTCTCTGCTGGTCACAGAAACTCACTTCTCTCAAGCCCCCGACCCCTGGAACCTTCCGCTACCTCAGGTAACGGGTTGACCACTACCCCGGCCCCTCTGAGCCCCACCCACCTCTGCAGCCCCTTCTTCTGCAGCCCTTTGTGGGGGTTGTGCCCCCAGCTGTGGTCACCGCCCCGCCCGTCCCCACCCACTGCCCTGGCGAGCTCCTACCTGTGGGGGCTCGTATGGCACCATGACGCTCTGCCTGCCAGTGACCGGGTCATCTACATACTGCGAGAGGTTGTTGCCCTCCACTCGTATGAGGTGGCTGGCGGGGGCGGACTGTCCTGAGGAGGGGGGAGCATGGCTTCAGAGAGGAGTAAGCACCCCCAGCCACCCCTGGCTGGAATCCACTATGGGGGTGCCTGTAGCCCTGACCTCTGGTCCCCCAGATGAGATCTTGGGAGCTGGAGTCAGCTTTTCAGCTCCTCTACGGCCCTCCTGGGTGGGTGGCCCCTAAGGCCTATCAGGCTCGCTGGCAGAGAGAGGGCTACTCCACATAGTATCCCAGTACCAGAAGGCCTGCCCAGGACCCTTCTCAGGCCCTGTCCCCCGCCTGCCGGGTAACACGCAGGCCTGTTGGAGAGGGAGGCCCAGACACAGGGACAGTCAGTCTGCCAGCACCCAGGGATGCCAGGGGCCCTGCAGGGGCCACTGAAAGGCTGAGCTGGGACTAGAAACCCCCACCGTGGGCACAGAACAGCAAGGGCATCAGGGCCTCGTCCTCCCTGGGCCTCACCTTCGTTGAAGTCCCTCCCCAGCTCGTGATTGGGGCAGCGCTTCACGACCTCCGTCACGTGCTCGGCCTTCTTGTAGACGGGCATGGCTCGGACGGCCGTGCCGGGTGGCGGGGGCGTGGACACCTTCATCTGGATGGGGCAGGTCTTGGCGATCTGGCAGTACAGCTTCTTCAACAGTGGGGAGTACTGCCAACAAGGGGCACATGAGGCTGGTGGCCCTGCCTCTGGGACACCCGCTGGGCACCAGGAGGTGGCCCCCGGGACCCTTTCCTTGGGCCTCTCCTCCCAGCACCTACCCCAGCCCCACCCAGCACCCAGTGGGCCGATCCGGGCTCCGTGGCAGCTGTGACTGCACCATCTGTCCTACCTCCCTCCGCCCGCAGGTGACCAACCCGGCGAGGGCGTTGGTCCACGGAGGCCAGATCCTGGACGCGGCCAGGGCATGCGCTCGACTCCCAGGCTCTCACTCCCTGAAGGCCCTCCCCGCTAGAGAGGGGCGATCAGCTTATCCTTTGGGAGGGGGCAGCATGAACAGCAGGACTGGGGTCAGTGGTAACCCAATCAAGAAAGCAGGAGGGACCCCCCACATGGGGCCCTGAGGGACAGCCATCCTGAGGGTGGGATGTGTGTGGGGGCAGGGTGACACCTCCCTGTGTCGGCACCCTGGACTGAGAAGAGCCACACAGGCAGGAGCAGGCTCCAGGTCCCCCCCAGATGATGAGCATTCCTGGAGCACCTCACTCCTGCGTGCAGAGGGACACGGAGCAGGCTCCCACCCCCTTGTCTCACTTCAGTGATGCCCAGCCAACGGGCATGCAGCTGGTGTTCGGTAAGTGCACCCTGGCCCCATACTTCCCTGGGTGAGGGGTTGCATAGAGCGTGGACCACGGCTGCCACTGCATGAAAGGGGTCCGTCTGTGCCCAGGCTCCAGCCGCCCAGGTGCAGCAAACACTGCACATGCAGACCCACAGCAACCCTAGAAGACAGGGCAGGGCTGCCCCGGTGGGTTTCCCAGGTGGCAACCCTTCATGGAAGTAGCACAGCTCATCCTTCTCCTAGGGAGCAGTGGGAGGGTTTGAACTGCTGACGTTGGCAGGAGCAGCCCCACGCATAACCACTACGCTACCGGGGCTGCACTAGCAAACATGGGGTGTCGGTTTAATGCACAAGTGAGGATACAGGACGCAAGGAGGCAACTCATCTCACAGAGAGAACCAGCCACCAGGAAGGTGCTAGAAGGTTTCCGTGTGAGGGGCCAGCTAGGAGGTCTTCTTGGAGGAGGAGGCCAAGGGGACTGCTGGCAGAGCCATGAGTGATGTGAGGTTCACTGGGCAAGGATTCCGGGACCTCTGTCCCACTGTGTCTGATGAGCACTGACTGCTTCTGGGGCCTCCTTGAGCCCCAAGGAGTCCAGCTAACCAGGGGCCTCTCCCGTCAGGCTCAGGAGTCCTGCCACCAGGCACCACCCTGATGACATGAAGGGCCAGGTGCTGGGCCTTAGCTGTGCCCTGAAAAATGGTTCCCACCCCTCCCACAGTCAGCCAGGTTCCAGATGAGACACCTAAGGGCACAGGCCAACCAGAGCCCTAGGGAGGGTCTGCACAGGGGGTGGGTGGGGTGGGTAGACTGACCTGCCCAACAGGCCTGCGTGAGCCGAGGCTCAGGAAGGAATCAGGTCAAAGTCAGAGGGGCGGCAGGAGGTTACTGTGGGGGTTGGACAACTTGAGGCCCCAGGCTCAGCACGGGACCTCAAGTAAGACAGAAAGCAGAGCCAGGGGCTGGTAGGTTCTACCGTGGCCCCACTGTTGGGTGAGGTGGCAGAGCTGGAATTAGGCAACACTGTTACCCGAGGGGATATCAGGGAGGGGAAAGCTGAATTTGGATTGGTGCGGGGAGGAGAGGTCTAGGCTCTCCTCTAGGCTGACCCAGCCTGCCTCTGTCCTCATGCTGGCTAGGGTGGAGAGGGACAGCCACCGGTGGCCCCTTTTCACAGCAGCTGGGTCCCAGGGGTGGCCGTGTCCATCGGGAGGTGCTCACAGCCCTCCTGGCTCCCTGGTGGTTAGTGGAGTCTGAAAGGTGAGTGGCCTTGAGCCCTTCCCTGCCATAGTTTCCCAGGAGCTGCCCAGGGCTCTGTTGTCATGGACACCACACCCCGGCTCCCAGAAAAACAGAGTCCAAGATTTCCGGAAGCCCGTTCCTGATCCCTCCGCCAGCCTCACCCCTCCCCACCACGTACATCGGGGTCCCTGCTGCCCTGGCTCCTCCCCCCAGCTGAGGTGGGTCAGCAGTCCCTCGAAGCCCAGGCACACGCCCAGAGACCCCAGGTGGGGGGACAGTGGGGACACATGTGTCTGGACTTCCTGGTTGAGGAGGTCCTAGCGACATCAACGTGCCCATGCAGGGCAGGCCACCGGGCCGAGATGCTCCATGACCCCTGCCCCTAGGAGGAGCCGAGGAGCCCTGGCCGCCTGCAGGCTGGGGCAGTGCAGGGAGCTGTCCCTGGTACCGCAAAACAGCGACACCCATCTGGGCAGCCCCAGGCTCCTCTCAGCCAGGCCAGGGCAAACTGCCGCAACGAGGACAGAGGAGGGGCACACACACTGGGAGAGATGGGGAGATACCCCCCTGGGGCCACGGGAGCTCCCCCCCCCCCACGAGCAATGTCACTAGATGCAGCAGCATCCAGCCACCCTCACATAGTGTCCCAGCCCAGTGCTGAAGGGCAGGCTGCCCACATGGCCTTGGGGGCACACACCCTACTGAAGCTCCGGGCCCTGGTGAGGGGTTCCACCCTGGACCTGGCTCCTGATAAGAATCCTTCCCAGAAAGCCCCTCCCCCCAGGCCCCCTTCTCTGATGGTCCACTGTGGTCCTGGACTGGGGGCTGGGCAGGGCACCCGAGTGCCCTTCCTTTCTGTGGATGCTGTCTCCCCGCCGCCTCTCTCCCTCCCTTCTTCTCTAGAACCGCTAGATGAATGTGTTTCAGCAGATTCCGAGCCGATAAAATCTTATTTATCTTCGGCTGTTGACACAGAACCGCCTAGACTTGTCTGTTCCGGGATGCGTGTGCTACTCTGTACTTGCAGGAAATGATTTGCCCAAACACTGATGTGTGCCCAGCAGCTACCCCTCCCCACTCCACTGCTGGCTTCTCTTCTGGGACCCCCTCCAGGCCAACCTCCCCAGCCTATCCCCCACCCCGCTCTGTCCCAAAGGGGCCTGGCCCGGCTAGCAGCCCTGAGGCTGGTGGCCTGGAGGGTGGTGGGCAGGAGGGCGCGGGGGTGCGGGGGCTGTTAATTTCCTCACCCGCTCCCGGCAGCTGGGGTGCCCGGCGTAGGCAGGTCTGGGCAGGAGGACAGTGGAGAGGTGATAATAACTTGTCTGTCAATTTCCCAAGACATGTAGCATCTTGCAAACCGCAAATACCGTTAACCAGCTTGGGTGAATCTGTTACAACAGATTCTGGAAGACGTGGCCTGCGGTGGGGGCTTGCTTTTCTTTCTTTTTTAAAAAAAAAATTATATCTATATATTTTTTATAGCTCATTTTATTCACTTTCTTTCTGCTTGGTGTGCGTGGGTGCATATGGGTTTAGAACCAGTGCTTCAGCCTGCTCTGGGTCACAGCACCCTTGGAGGACACCAGCTTCACCCCCAGCCCAGGTGACAGGCCCTCTCTCCCTGGCAGAGTTCCCGGGCAGCCCACAGAACACCTGGCGTGAAGTTCTGTGGGCTTACACACCAATCCCCCCAAACTCACAAGGGACCTGGGCCAACGGCCCTCGATGCTCTTTTCCCTCCTGGGGAGGTGGGCTCCTGGAGGCCACACCCTAGAGGAGAGTCTGTCTCCACCTCCCCCAGGACAGGGTCCCCTCGCCCCTCCCTGTGCAGGGGCCTGGCCAGGTCCAGGCTGGCTGGAGGAGAGGTTCCCACATGATGCCCGAGCCCCGACTGTTATCCTGAGACCTTCCTCAAAGGGCTGTGTCCACTTCGGTAGAACCACTGTGCCCAGGAGGGCTAGCACACAGCCTCTGTCACCACTCATTCAGCCAAGACCCCCTGGCTGCAAAGTGGGTGCTACCCTTCCCACCAGGGCAGGTGACACCTCCATCTGAGCCTTGCGCTGAGACCCAGAGGGGAGCTGTCCTTAGGGTCCCTGAGGGCAGGGCAGGGCTGGCAGGGAGACCAGGGGTGGCCCCAGCAACAGCCTCCTGCCCTCACCACCGGGATGCGATCTGAAGGAACCGCCCTTAGCCTCTGCCACCCCAAGGGCCCTCCACCTACCTCCTCTGCCTGAGGGCCTGGGACACTGGCCGTGCTGGGCATCCCTGCCAGCCTCCACTCTGGACCCTGGCCCATGGAGAGAAGGCGCTGGCACGGGATGCAGCAGCAGGAGAGTGGGCAGCTGGCTAATGAGGCGTGCCTGGCAGCTCTGTCCTCGGGGGTAGTTTCCTATGGCTGCCCACCCCACCAGCACACACACAAACAACTCCTCTGTGGGTCTGACCTGAACCCAGAAGGGTAGTCCTGGGGCCGTCCATGGACCACAGGCACTGCATTTTGGACACTGGCATCAGACAGTCCAGGGCCAGACAGGTCAGTGCTTTCCCTGGACTCTGGAGAGCTGCACTTGGTAGGGGCTGGGTCTGAGCCAGTTGAGAGTGAGAGGGGACAGTGAGTCCAGGGGTCTCTACGGAGTTTGGGTGTGTGTTCCGTTCCGAAGGGCTCCATCAGGGAGTCTGGGAGATGGGCCCTCTTTGGCTCCCTCTTTGGCTACCCAGGACTGCAGGAATAACCCCCGGTGACAGACCCGGTTTAAGATGCCCCTACTGACTCAAGCTTGGTGACACTGGGATGCCTGCTCTAAGTACACTCCATCCCACTCAGGTCCGGGCCCAGCGCTTCTCTGAGGGGCGGCGCTGCCCCTGCCTGGCCAGCTTGTGGACATGTGAGGCCGTGGGGCCTTTGAGGAAATCGTTGGCGAGAAAAGGAGCTTTCACTGAGCCTATAAATAGTTGACAAGGGCCCGGAGCCAGGAGAGCCTGATGTGGAAACGGCTGATTCACCTGCTGCAGAGAGCAGTGGACCCCAGCGTTCGGGGCCTGCACCGATGGCCTGCCCCTGTCTTCCTGGAGCTGGCCCCCTCTGTCTGCGGAGGCCAGGGAGGTCTTGTCTGGGTCCCACAAC